GCGGTGCTATTAATTATTGAAATTGAGAACGCATTTGGATTTTGTGGTTTATTTACATTTACTGTACACGTTAAACAAGGCTAACCCCATCCGAACAATATTTATAACATTATATAAAGTATTCCAAATTTGATTAATACAAAATTGCAGCAAGTATTTTTGACGTCAATCTTTTCAACTCAAAACCGATCAGCAGATTCTCGGACGGTAGCTTAATTATGATTATTTCCATGTTTTCTTAATCGAACTGTTAAGTTTAACAACTTTTCGTTCAGCTAATGACAAACGTAAAAAAAACGTAAATTTATGTATTACATTACCAAAATGACGTATGCAGTTTAGGTCATTTAAAAGAAATGTCTCTAAAAACGCTACAAAAGTCACGTCTTCCACAAAAAATAATAATAATTAGTAGGTATATTAGTAAAATTGTAATTATTCATGTTTTTAAATAAAAGATATCTATTACCTACCAAACGGACTAATTAAAAATTAAACAATCTATTGTTAAAGTGAAATATTTGAATTGACGATAACGTAGCTATTAGTAATTGTATTTTAGCTTCAAAACCAACTAACGATACATATTTTTTATTCAGTATAGCAGTGGTCAAAAAACTTGAAGATTATTGTTAAACATTAAACATTATGCAAATGTAGATGGCACGTCCAATCAACTTCATTCTCAGTAATTATCGAGATGTTTACAGTCCCTCTACTAGCCGATGATTTTTTTTTTTACTGTAAAGAATATTTTAACGTCAAAATAATACTTATGATACGTTTGAAGACGAATGTTTGTTCCCGTTAAACAAAACAAGTAAATTAAGTGTATTCCATCAAAAGCAATAATTACCATTTGACGCATTTTTTTTCTTAGGAAAATGAGAAAACTATGACAACTTAAGCATTGCTAATAAACAATAAATAATTTGTTTCTTGGTAATTTGTGATTATTAACAATATTCAGACAGTTGCGTGAATAGGGGATGACGACACTAAAGGGCGACTTTTATTGTTTACCACCTTAGCTGTTTTTAGGACAAAAATAGGACAGCAATTTCAGAGTACTCCTTAAGTTACGCCACTGTATTCGTGCATAGCATAATGCGTTTTTTAGAACAGTTTTTTCTTAGTTTTTGACGGATAAAAAATAAATCAATTTAATAGTTTTTGTCTGGTCTGAGAATATTAACAAGAAAAGGACCAAAAATTGTGTACAAAGTTCGTATACAGCTGGATACCCCAAAATTATTAAAAAAATTAAATTCAGTTACTGATTTATTAATGTAATTAATTAAACTTTAGGTATAAATATCAGTCGTTCTTTCAATTTCAATCAATTAATCGTTAGAGCGCTTCTTCAAGTAATTATTCAACATTAATTGTGCACATTTACTTCATGTTTTATCATAATTACATAAGTTGCAAGGTAATAAAAGTATTGACGTAAATAATTCACTTAACAACAAGCCTCTATCATTAAAATAATAATTGTCTCCTAGTTGAGACAAAAATCACTTTGTTCAGATGGAGAATAATGCGTTAATTGATTTTACATCATTACTAAATATTGCAAAATTTTTAGTATATATACCAGAGTACCTTTTAATAATGTCTATTAGTTTTGTCAACTAAAAAAAAAAGTACAAAATATTAATACAGTAGAATCCGCTTATAATGACATCGAAGGAAAATGACAAACACGTCATACTAAGCATAGTCTTAGAAAATAAACAACTTTCTATTTTGGTTAGTTATTTAGTTTAATAGAGAGAGAAAAACTACAATTTGTATATATTTATTAACAGAAAAAGAAAAATTACGATGAATTGTAATATCAATATACATAAGAAGGGTCAGAAAAATGAGCGAAAATGTTATTATTAATCATTTGGGTCACTATAGCCGGATGTGATTTCTTTAGAATCAGTCATAAAAAACGATATGTCATTTTAAACGGAGTCATTATATCCAAACTTTCCTATAGAGAATTTAACATGAAAACCAAACTTAACATTACAATTACTTCATATTAAACGGTTGGTCAATATAGGCGGAGTCATAATAAACGAGTTCCACTGTACTTAAAAAATTAACCCCTCGCTTCTAGCACTGTCAGCTACCCCCCTAATAAATATTACGTCACGAAAGTTATCCCCCCTTATAAACGATTACTTATAATTGATAACAATAATGATAATGACTTTCTATAGTAATGAAAAATTTTACGAACTGCAGTTAAAAAAAATAACGAACGTCAAATTTCCTTAGACCACTCTCCCCCTTATTAACAAACTCGTGGGCATTAATAGGGCAGGAACCCCCTTGAAGTGATTCTTTTCTGATTCGGGACATACATGAACCCTAAGCCTAATATAAATCAGGTGCAGCCTACGTCAAAACTAGAAACAATTCTTGTAAATTGATAAAGTATAGATACTAAATGCAATGAGTAATTAATTTCAATTATAACGTCAAAAAAACAACCAGTGATTATCAGGTACATAATTAAAAAATCTGCATAAATGTAAATTCCTAGTTCACAATAATTTTACATGCGTTTTCTCTTTAACAAAACTCGTACTGCTTACGCAAATGTAAGATCTGCATTTGATAATGGTGACGAGAAACTGCTGACGTTATGTTTATTGTGTCCTACCTACACATTAACTAAAGGATTGGATAATAATTAACAAAACAATATCCACGCGAAAACATATTTGTATTGGTAGACACTTATTACTTAAAAGTAATTATAGAGAAGTTCCATTTGGATCCAATTATCGTGTAAAGTACGAGAAAGAAAACCGATCATGTTAATTAAAATCTATAGCCTGTTCTAAGAAATACCAGCTACGTCAAGTGCGACATAATTCATGGGAATCATCATACAACGTCATTTCGCCAGTTTCAATTAAGGTCAATTAAGTTAATTCGCAAAAATGCGTGGAAGACATAACTGTAAATACATTATTTATCCAACTCGGGAAATTAAAAACACGTAAAATTTCCTTCCCATTTTCATACGTAAAAACAATTTTATCTAACTTACCTTGATGAATATTGGTACTCNTAATAACAATTTCGTATGGTTTAAATACTCCTTCTTGTATAAAAACATTTTTTTTATTAAATAATTTCTAATCTTTTTTCAGGGGCTAATATGTTGTGGAACAACCTTCTTCAGCCAGTAGGACGAAAAAGCACAGCCATGATTGATGGATTAATGAGAGACTTTCTCTGTCCTTTAGAAAAAGCTCCCTACTTTTTCACTTACAAAAATTCAAAGACTTATTTTGAAACTGGCCATCAATGACTAAATAAATTATTTACAAAGACATTATTGTTTTATTGCATACTATAATTCATTTAAAGGTTATTAAAAGCGTGTGGAAGAAAAGTGTTTGAGGTGTGGTGTTATAGGCGGATGATAAAAATTATTCTAGGTTAGGTATTGGAAAAAATAAAACAACAGAGTGCACTAGAAGTCAATAAAGAATAGGAGACGTGGGACGGGATTAAAATATCTTTTGAGATTAGTTAGAGATATATTAGAAGCAAATACAGGAATTTAAAAAGCAAAAGGAAGGCCTATATTAGACTATTTTCACAAATGATTAGAGATATGATGATAGTACCTAATTCAATTAAATTTTATCGATTCAGAGATGAAATCAATAATTCTACAAACAAGCAGTTTACGAACTGGCTAAAACAGTTCCTGAAGGACGTTGAGAGATGTCAGAAAATTTACATATGTGACACCTAACAAAATTATATGAATTAAAGCATAATTTTAGCAGGAAAATACCAAGACGTTATTTCCGTAAACTAACAACTGTAGGTGAAGGTGACGTGTCAGAGTATCACGCGATATTTTGCTTGATATATAATAATAATTGCAGCAGGTAAATAAATGTTTCAGTATGTAAAGGTCTTGTACTTGTAACACATGATTTATAATTTAATAAATAATAATCGCAGGGCATCCATAATTATATATATATATAATTCTTTTTAAGTTCACTGATATTAATTACACACAATATAATGCCATATAAATCGAAAAAGCTAATAGTAACTAGGTAAGCAATCACTTTTTTTTTACAAAAAGAAAAATTGCCAAACGTATGTAACTTTATTTAGATAATTAAACTCTCAAGAGTAACATTAGGAAGTCATGTACACAATGCACATTGTCTTCAGATAATTTGATGTTTAACTAATTAACGATTTACGTATTTCTTTGCATCACGTTTATGTTTTCGTGATTCTTATTTACATTTTGCATAACAGTCAAATCGAACATCGAAGGTCTTACAGTATTAGATACATGAAATTGAAGCTTAACAAATAACACAGGGTGGATATTTAACAACAACGCACGATTCTGACATCAAAAACATCATCATCATCATCATCGTATTGTAAATGATGCTTTGTGTATAATGAAATTCAATAACAAATTAAACTCAAATTACGAACTGCAGCAAATAACACTTGTTGTAAATAAATTTCTGAAGGCTCTTTTTACACATTTACAATGTGACAAAACACTTGAGATATTCGATGAAACTTTTTATGCTAATCACTGACGTAGGCACCGAATTACCTTCTCTAATTTATGATTTATGCGAAGGGTCTTTAACCAAAAAGATTGAATAACATATCTCATCCCTTGTTGAGGATTTCAGACAAATGAACATAATGATTTTGTATCTTAAAAGAATTTAATAAAATGCTTGATGAGTTCTACAAAACTAGAAAGAATACAAGAAATTTACATTGTTTCAGATACGTTTTATTACAGAATCCTTTCGGATAAACAATTTAACGAGCTTATTTAGCGTTTTAAGAATCCAACATGTCTCATATCACGATTTTTGTTAGACAACAAATTTAAATGTAAATCTTATTCATTCCCAAATTTGCAAATCATTATGTTTATAGTTTATATAAATCATTCAGTGGTGGTGCTCGTCTTACTTACAAATATTTGTTGCATTACTGATGCATCTTCATCCACATATGTTTTAATACGATTATCTTCATCAAACTCATTCTTAATCTTTTCTAAAAATAATTAATTGTTTTTACAGTTGTTATACTTATGCTTATGTATTCTATTCAACAAACTAAATCCATTAGCGGTAATACCTACATAAATGTACCAAAACGATCGCATTAGAAATACTAAAAGGTCAAGACATAACTTAATTAAACAGTACGTTAATTATTTGCTGGTTATGTTAGGTTACGTTAATTACCTAATTAGACCAATTGCAATCAAATGCTGGCCTCTTTGATTTAAATACGTTTATTTAAAAACTGACCCTTCATATTTAAATAATGACTACCACAGGATGCTGGCCAAACAGATTTAAATAGTGACATTACATCATTTTAAAATACAAGTCTCTTTTTAAGACAATTGCAGTTTGCAATTTATGGAGTTATTGTATCCTAATAAACGACAAAGGACAACTGAATCGAAAAAAGCAATTTCAATGAGTGAAAATTCATATTAAATTGTATGGGATTGAAGGAACCTTTTAATTATAATGCACCAGTCCTTCAATTAAATGTCCTTGTGCTAAGGATTTCACATTTTACTCAAAAGGTGATACACAAACGACATTAGTATACACAACATGTATTAATTTACCTTGATTGCAAAACTGGTAAACCACTACTGTAAAACAATTTTCTTCTTTCAAGTTCATGAGAAGGCATTCAACTACATTTATAACATTCAAAAACAAATGCCACATGTTTGTCTGCCGATATCATATTATCATTTTTTTAATAATAATAATAACTAACCATTTGAGTAATTATAATACTAGCGTATAATTAAAAAGAAAACATTCACAGTGTCTTTGTTAAAACGATTTATTTAATAAAACAGATATCAATACAGAAAGTACAACTTTCATAAAGCATACTAGACGTATGCTTACTATCGCAGTAATCACATCAATTGTAAATATTTACATGATCTTCATATTGTGATCACAAAGTTCATCATCCTTCAATTCATCTGAAACTCTCAACGAATTCTAATTCATAAACGAAAATCACTCGTTTAATGCACCAATGCCTCGAATATTTTCATAATTTCCTTCAGCCAAACCATTTTCCAGTTCGAGAACTTCTGGTAGATGTGGATGATGCTGTACTTCCACAGCTTTTGAGCGACTCCTTGGAGGAACTCTTGCTGCGGCTGTTGTTTTTGTTGGGATGCAGAAAGCTGTCGATAACTTGACGCATTGTCGAGTGCTTTCTGTTGAACGGATTGGTGTACATTTTTCTAGTAAATATAAGGCACAAATTACGTGTTCACTAACACAACAACAAACTAAGTTTACTCTCTTGCAACTGTTGGATATTGTTAATAACGTGTTTTTTAAGTATTAACCTTCTCACTCTCGAGCTTTAAGGTGCTATGTTTACGGAAAACAATTTGCCTTGCTTTTATACCTGGTATGTGACGTATTTTCCACTTCTACTACTATTATAATAATTAATAGCCGAGAGGATGGTTTTGTATTAGATGATAGATATCAAAAGTGACGCGTGGGTATTTTTGACGTAATAGTATAAAAATTATTGAAAAAAATAACCGTTTTGATACAAGTAGCAGTCTATGAAAGAGATTTACCGAAAAAAAGTTGTTTATAATCACATTTCCTCATGTTGCAGACAAAAACAAATGAATTTTCGGTTCCTTTTGATTCATTTGTTATTACTTCGTCCCGGTTGCAGGTAAACATATTTATTCGCCGGTTTTTACAAGTTCATCGGAAAATTTCCGCGTGTTTCAAGATCGTGAAGATTTCCCCATCGGTATTAACGAAACATAATACATAATAAATCTTTTCATTGGTATGAAGCGAATAATTGAAGTTTATTGAAACCGTTACTCGCAGGATTCTGTTTTCACTACGTATACACTCACATATCTACAAACGTACATATATACATACATAAATAAATAAATATCAGTCGTGTAATAATCAAATGAATAAATGAACCAATTGAGTAGGATAACGACCAAGATGATAAAAGAATTTCATTATCAAAAAAAATATCGTGTGTAGATGATAACGCAAAATACATAAGGATTTCCTGTTTCAGATAGATACTAAATGTACCATGTATTTTCCACATAATTTTTAAAGTAAAATTATTTTCTAGTTTATTATTGAACTGATAACAACGAATATCTAAATTCAAGTAAAAATTGCAAGCGCACTTCACCACCTTGCATTATTTGCTTCTTCGTGATTTTCCGCTATTTAAACAGTCGCTAAATGGCCTACTAACCCAGTAGGTAAGCAGATGTTAACTTGCAGTTTTAATTAAATAAATAATTTAGATCTACCAACTGTGTACCACTGGCCTAAATTAGAATTTTATAGATCCTATTATTACAATTTAAATGTACCATCAATAATATTAACTTGTTCAGTTGTAATTAATTAAACATTGTAAATAAGTAACAATTTTGTTGTCGCCGTGCGGTGAAAAATAAATCTGTTCTATTGTTTATTACAAAGTGAATATATTCTGCATTTTGTATTTGAATTGCAAATACTAAAAACTTCTTCAAATAAATCACATGCGTGCGTCTGAAGTTTCACATGAAATCAGTGTTGCGCATCTTTTACCGTATAGAAAAACCCATTTAATATTTGCTCAAGATCTAATATCTGAGCGATCTGATAAATCATATAAGTGACAGGATTTTTTTCAAGTTTTAATAAAATCAATTAATTTATCTTCCACGTGCAGCAAAAGTATTTCGAATAAAACGATACAATAAATTATTACTAGCAAAAAATACCCGGTTATAATGATACTCTAGTATTTCTCCTTTTGCTCTTTATATAGCCAGAATATTTTAACTTAACTGTCTTATTATCAAGGCTGATAGTGTAAGTAGAAAAATGTCATTTTATAGATGCAATAAATAAATGTTTTGCCTTGAGTCAACTCTATACATTACCAAAAACATTTAAATGTAGTTTTTTTATTGACAAATCTATCCTTCGAAAATCCTAGAGACATATTACAACATCTTAAATAAACATAAATGTGCAATTACAGTAGGAGTTTTTACATTATTATTTTTTGCTGAAATAATTTGAAGTATTTCCGGTAGACGAAGACAGGCGGTTCCTGCAAGATTTCCTTCAAGGCGCCAGTAGGTCAACAATTTTACCTTGATCTTAGCATAAATTTGCCTTCAATTTCCCAATAACTCAACCTACAACGCTCCATGCAGCTAATAAAAATAAGATAATCTCAAAGTGGTAGAACATTT